GTAACATAGCCGGTCCACAAGGGTTACATAGCTGGTCCAAAGTCTTCGGGTTTTGGCAGGCATCGCCACTATTAATTTTTTTGCCTGCAAGAAATTTTGCCCGATAATCGAAAGGCGATGCCTGCGGAGGAGGCTACGAAAGAGGATGCTGTCAATAGCGTATTTTGTCAAACAATTCACTATTGGTGGGTTTCAGTAAGCGTTAAAGGGCAGAAAATGGCTGTCTAGTTAAGTTTGTTGTGGCGTGATATATTGTTTGGTGATTCCATGAATCATAAAAATACTGGATAGGAAATTCACGCTCGCGCACGATGTATTCCTGACGTTTTCAGCGTGCTGATGAGTGATGGCGTTTCAACTTTGTGGAAAATTATGACATCACGTTTAGCAATAATACAGCTGAGTATTTTAGCAAAATAACGTAAGAATACAACCATGCCACTCCACGATGAAAAGTCTAGATATTGTTGGTCATTTTTAGGGAACATATCAAACATTAAAATATGCGTCACAAATTTCAATTATATCAAGAGTAGTTTTGGTGACGACAATTTCTTGATTACAAAAGTAAAAACCTAAAACAAGGACAAACAACATTTACCTTGAAAACGTTAACTGTGGCACGGGCAGGTTTAAAAGGCAATTAAAGAAAAACGCAGTAAACTTCGCTATATTTATTGCATTCGTGACATCACGAATTTCAAATAGGTCAGTCTGCTCGCGTCAGCTGTTTCCTATCCATTCTTTTAACTATCCATGCATGGTGAAGTTGTACATTCTTACCTTTGACAGAAACTTGGGATTAATGTGAATAGATGGACTGGGAGGAGGAGGTTCAACGACAGGCCACCCAGGATCACGTTTATGTACACTGCAATCTAATTCATGAAGTAACTTGATTGAGAAGTATGGTGGCCATGTGTTCCGTAGTTTGAACATAGACATACGAATCTTTTCATCTGCCTATAAAAATACATTACGTATTACGTATTTACGTTAATTAGTTATTACACAAACATGGGAATAGCGAGTCAAGCAGAAGTGGTGGTTAAGTCCGTTCAGCTAATGCATGTGCTTTGTTAATATAATTTGTTTCGACATGTTTATCCTACTGAAGTACATAATAAACTGAAGTATCTGGTCTACTTCTAGCTTGTTAGATGTAGTTATCAGATTCGACATGGCAAAATTCCTGCAAACCCTGCACAGTCTACTTAAAAATATATCATTTCCCTGAAAAAATATTGCAGATATTGCCCTGTAAATAATATTATTGGCATATTGCTCTGTAAATATTAAACCCTTCAATACACTTCAGCAACGTGGAAGTGTTTTCAATCTCTCTTAGGCTTTCTCAGCAAGGTTTGAATAATCCTTGTATACATTTTAATTATTTTTAGACACGCAGGTTTCGAATGCATAAATGTTACGACAATGAAAACAGAAATAAAAAATCTTATTATATGGACAATGGTCATGTTTTACTGGAAACTAAAACACTCGTAGAACTCATATACGTCACTACATCCGGGACCAGGTGCGCGTATTTTCCGTATTTCATCCCTGCTAGTGACATACGAAGTTGGAAAATTTCCCGCCATTTTCATGATTGTTGTTGTTTTGAAAATACAAATGGTCTTTGGTTCGTATTTAAAACGAAATTAACGTTGGAAATAAAACGAAAACATTTAAAAGACATCTTGAGATACGTAAAATTTATTCTAGTTTTATGTTTTCACTATAATTTTAAAAAATATCGCTTTTATACTGGTCTTTCGCATGCTTATTTACATGTCGTCTTTGTGTGTATTTTTGTCACTCTGAGTAAGTCCATATGATATACAGAACATTAAACGGTTGCGAGAAGATATGGATTTATGTTCTCGTGTCAAAAACAATTTTGCCACTCGAACATAAAATCCATATCTCTTCGCAACCGTCTAATCTCCTCTATATATTGTATACCTGCTCAAACACGTGGGTAAATAAAGCAACGATACATGGAGATACAGCGGTTATATAGTCTTCACCAATGTTCTTTACAATTGAATCCATTAAGTACAGTGAAGGAAGTTTCTGTTCAATGGCAACCTGAAATGAAATTAAACATGAATTAACGATCACGATTTGACTCAGAGTTTTAACGAGTGGGTACAAGTCAATGCACACGTTACAATAAGTGTACTGTAAAACCCTGTTTTTCTCCCTCATTAAGAACTAGCCGTTCCACCTTAGAACTTGCCTTCTGTTGCAAAAAACGGTAGCCTTGTGCAAAGCATTAATATCGGAAATGATTACGCTAAGTATTACTAGTGTACATAGATAGAGAAGTTTAGGTTCATGATAGATGGAAAAACTTTATTTAAACACGTTGACCCCGTCATCTTAAGCTGATTTCCACAGGGGACGTGTGCAAAATATCTTTATATAACTATATAAAAGTAGGTTTAACGAGAACACAATCTAATTATTTACAATGAACTATAGCATTCAACAGGACCTGAAAATATCTTTTCCTGTGGTTGTTTATAAGAAAATGCAAGCCTGGTAACAGCACGTCACCAAGCCTTCCTGAATCTACCATTAACATACTATATGACGATGATGACATTACTACATCATTTGTGTATATACTTCGAAAGTCAGAGAGTGAAATAACAGAGGCCATGGCTTCACAAAGTACATGGGCAGTCTGGTTAACGCATTAGAGAGTTTGAACAAGCGACTTTTTTTTTCACTTTCCCATTGAAAGGTAAAATCATCTGATATTAGACATATTTAAATAAAGAAGTTGGTCACTTTAACGTAAAGAGCTTAATTTTAAAGGGGAAACTATATACAGGTATTCCCTAAACAGGAAGTGTCAGATGTGAATGATTCTCCAATTTTCTCTTGTCTGTCTTGAGTTTCGACTCACCCCTGTAACATGATTCATGAGTGCATGCTAACTGTGGCTTATCGTCATTAGAGATGTTAAAATTTATTAAATTATTTTGCCATGGCAAATTTTTACTAGAAATAGCGTTTCAACCTGGTTTGGAGAGCAAAATACCGACATGTCAGTTTTCCAGCATTTTAATTATTCGTATTGCCATACTGATATTTTAAAAATACAGGTATATCCGGTATATATCGAGTCTTTCTAGGGCAGAGGTACACACAATGACTGCCTCCTCCGCAGACCTTCCCATGACGCAACGAGGGCCTGCGGAGGAGGCAGACACAGTTCACTGGGTACACACACCCCTGTCGGGCTTGGCCATTTTTTTCAAAAGTATTGCATTAGTGTCAACTAATTTATATTTATTAAGCCTATCTGCACGTTAAAACCGATAAACTACTACTGGGGCCGGTTGTCGTATTTGATGGATAAATCCTCTATCCCTTGGATGGTTATTCATTGGACAAAAGTGCGTTGTACGAAGCACGGATAGCAGGGTGTATAGCTATCCGGAAGATAAGCTTAAATTTGACCGGAGAATTTTTTTACCTCTACATACGTCAGCTGTTGCTAGGTGTTTCAACATGCGAATCGCACAAATCTTCAAATTCACTTGCTATATAAAATTAGTTACGCGTTGTACTTTTACAATCGTTGCTATGGATTGTTCTATTATAACATTTTCATTATACAGTAGACTACAGTATAGTGTGGTGTTTTTGACGACAAAGGCTTTCAACATTTCACGAACAGCAGCGACTGTGTTGAGAGTTGTATTATCTGATTTTAGTTAAGGTAGTTCGTTTACACACAACGATTAATCGGGCCGATTCAGCTTTAATTGATATTTGAAAAATACGCTGTCAACGTCATCTGACGACATTCGTCATTGACATTCGGTCACAGAATAGAAAATAAACCAGAAGACCCACTTATCCAAAATTATGTTCGAGATTTTTCATGCGCAGGCGCGAGCCAGCAAGTGTAATCACGACGACATCAAAAACGAGCAATACGCCATCACTTGATAAAGATTTTAAATACCACAGGTCCAAATAGTGGGTCATCGCAACAGGAAGACACGACTTAAAAAACAAAAGCATAAAATATTTACAAAATAATTGCAGAATATGCAGCGTACACTTTGAGCATGTTTTGCGAATTTCAAGAAAAACCGCTGATTTGAGGAATTGACACCAGATTGACGCTGACGTGATGTTCGCAGCAAGTGTCACACACGTCATCTAGCGTGCACATCGAAAATCGCGGACACGAAAATGTTAGGGAAAGGTGTACAGTGAGGCTTCTGGTATATTTTCTATTTTGTGATTCGGTAAAACCTGAAATCGACCCGATACATCATTGTGTTGGAACGTACATTTTATATTTGTTCCTTGAACGCTTTTCATAATAACTATAAGGACATTTTCCCCAATGTTTCATTAGTTAATCAAAGCCAGTGTGTTAACAACGGCTATCTTGTTGTCTACACATTCTTCTGGAAAGAACGTTATCTTGGCTATAGTTTTCGTAATACACCCTTTCGATAATTACGTCACACATACTTTTTGGTCTTGGAAGACTCGCTCTCATTAGTAAATTACGCAAGGTGATTGGCTTACGATTCATGAGAGCGAGGCTCCCAGGCCAAATGACGTAATTATCGAAAAGGTGTATTTGCGACGTTGAGCTTTACCTAATGTGACATACATGAAAACGAGGCTCTACAGCCAAAGTGACGTAGTTTCCGGAAGCGTGTATTGTACTCATAGAAATAATAGATATAGAATACGTACTCCTATATTTTCTCAGTCAAAATTTTGTCTCCACAAAATGGCGGATTCCGAAGGGCATTTTAACCATATCTATGATTTTAACATGCCCTAGACTCCTGCAACAGGGAATTTCGCACCATTGCGGGGAGTGCGAATTGTTTTTTCAACAAAGTTTGCAAAAAGAAAAACGTTTTGTAAATGTGATGTTGTGATGTTGTGATGAAGGTTTTTATGGAAAACAATAGTTCTGAACAGGATATATACAGAAATTGTCATTAAAAAAAATCGTCATTCAAGATTGTTGTGGAAGCCAAAACAAAAGTCAAAGCACAAAATATCAAACTGCAAATTAGACAGCAAAGACTAATATAGTCAAATTCAATATGGTGGATTTGAAAGGCCATGCATGAATACTTTGTAAAAGAGAGAAATTTACTTTCAAACTAAACGTAAGAAGAGCTGGAGAAAATGCCAGTCAAATCAGAATGAAGTCTGAACGTCTATTGAAGTAGACATTCTGTGAAGACAGCCTGACAAGGGATATTCTAGCAACAAATTCACACTTAATTTAAGTTTTTTTATGTCTATTATATTGAACCCTTTAAGTGGCAAATAAAGCACCCTGATGCACCCTACTTTATTATTTTACTCTAATGTCAGATGATTTCACTAGTCAAGGGGAGAGTTCTGCCACTCAATGGGTTAAAAAGCATTTCCCTTGCAATCTGACTCTCTTTCATCTGAAATATTCACTGTTTTGTCTTGGAACTTCGAATTTATCTGCTGGATAGTAGATAACCAGATAAATTTATCCAACAGATAATGTATTTTTATCTGCTGGATAACACCATACAAACTTTGTGCAACACAAATTTTACCTTGGATAAAATTTATCTGCTGGATAGCAATTTACCTGCAATTTAGCAACTTGTCCATCTTTCGTACAACTGGCCCCTGAACTAAAGTGCCGAAATACTGAACATAAACTCATTCTGATGAGGTCAAATTCCCTACCTATATTTGTTATTCCTGTTCAAATATACGGAACACATTTTCAGATAATAATAATAATTACAATATTTAGATTAGCACCTTATCATATTTAGGCCTGTTTCATATTTTGCACTGTAATGAATTTAATTCAGACAAAATTTAATTGAATGAATTAAATGTGACGGTAGTGTGTTGTATCAAATATCAATCAAATTAAATTTGTCTGTAGCGCATCTTTGTTTCATCATTTTCATATTCAACATCACATTGTCATGTCAAATTAATTAAATACATAAATTATGTTAATGTTGGTTTCTATTTCTGTGTAATCCATGACTGCTAATCATAAAATTAATTTGTCTGAGTTAAATTTGTTGTTCAATACGAAACTATTTTAATTAATTAACCAATCGACAAATTCAATTTGTATTTGTCTGGATTCAATTCGACATATGAAACAGGATTTAGCTTTCCTTTGAAATATTGATGTTTATCAAAAATATTGATATATCGCATCAGCCTAATGCTATGATAGGATATCAAAGAGTACTAGATTACCGGTATATATAAAATTAATGGCCAATTTGTGATGGTTTAGAACTATATAAAAAAATGTGGTGTAACTAGTCTTTCACATATTTCATTCTGTGTTACCAAACTTGTTTCCCATATACCATGAGGTATGGCCACTGCCAGCCTGGCACAAGTTAAACCTGCAATAGCCATCTTGTTTCTCTACCATTGACGGCCATATTGAACATTGGATCTGTCAGTCGCCTTGTTTCCCTCTCCCTTCCCTTGCACCCCCCTGTTCTCCATGCGCTTTCTTTCATCCATGTTTGCCACAAGTACACAACATCAGTTTTCAGCTTGCACTTTTGTAAGCGCAGTACTATATAAATTTGGTGTTTACTTTAATCTGAAAGTGTGCGTCTACTTTCAGGTTTTCTTTTAAATCCAACAAAACGATTAGGGATGAGTCATCACCTCAGGTTTCGGACAGTAAAGGTGCAATTTTTTACAGACGAAGATCCCATTGCTGCATTTACTTTTCTGCCTTTGACTGACCTTGGACCCTCAAAGTATTCCTGTTTGCACAAAACTACATAAAAAACGTCGAAACTACAGAACAGGATTCATGAAATATCATGCACCTGAACCTATTTGTTTTTTCATTTGTTTGCTATTCTTCTTAAAAAAATCGTCCGAATTTTAATACTGGTACTGTCCGAAAACTGGACAAGATGGTGCAAGGCTCATTGTTAGGTAATTTATATAATTTACCCAAACATTCCATATAATTTTTCCAGGGAAAGCTACAGGCTAATATTGTGGATGAAAATTATTTCTCTTTTGTGAGTACTAAACTACTGATAACTCAGAAATGCAATTTTTACCTCATATATTCGTTTTTCAATTAACTTCACAATTTCTGCAGCGTGTTGCCTATTTTCATCAGCAAGCATGGTCAGCACATTGATAAGAGGCTTTGAATTGAACGTTAAATCCCCCAAGGAAGAAGCATAGTCTTTGCAAATGTCTTCTGCAGCCATTAATATATAGTAAAGAATAAAATAGTGAAACAAAATAACATAAAAAAATGAAAATAAAAAAATAAAAGAAGAGACTCTTCAAAATGGCGGTTGAAAATCATGACAAAAAAGAACATCAATATCCCATATTATCCATTGCAAGACATTATTCACCTAAAAAAACCCGTGGTAACGAGTCGGAACCAATCGGAACCAATTCGGGAATAACCGCCAACTTTGGCGGGAAATTGGTAAGCTCTGTGATTTGGTAAAAATATAAAATGTGCTGTTCAGTTGAACCTTTTATTCTTGAAATTGTAAAGTTTATTTGATAAAGCAGAGTAAAGATGAGTTTGTGGGTTGACAAATATCGTCCAAATTCTCTTGCCAAGTTAGATTTTCACAAGAATCTAGCTGCACATCTCAAGAAATTGGTGAGAAATTTCATGAAATTTGTCTTGAATATTAAATATAATCAATATTAATCTCGATATTATTAAATCCATTGAGCGCCAGCGCTCTCACCTTGACGAGTAAAATCGTCCAGTGTTGACAGAGTAAAACAATAAATTGGGGCACAATGCATCTTATGGGTTAAAGCTTATTCTTGTGACAGTAAATCATGTAACCGTCAATCATGCAATAATGTTTGTGGCTAACCCGTGAACGGGCTTGTCGGACTATCACCAAAGATTAGATACGATAAAGATGTGCCACTCTGCGAAAATTATGTCCGAGATTTTTTTATAGCCGCCATTTTGTCAGTAAGTGTCAAATTCGTCAATATAGCGCGAGCATCGCGATGGCAACCTATTGCGGATGGCAACCTATTGCGTATTGCCATTTTGGCAGTAAGTGTTATGCACTTGTCATCTTGCGTGATCACTTGTGATCAGCACAGAAAATTACGGACACGCAAGCATTAGGGAAATACGGCGAGTGGCACATCTTTATCGTATGTAATCTTTGCTATCACACCAAACGGCGTTGTGAGGTATGAGCGTTGTGGGGTATGATCAGTCATGTACTGAAGCTTTGTGAATTGACAGCAGATCAAATCATCAAAAATTCATGACTTTCGTCATTTGCAAGGGTGGGTAGTAGCGAAGTAGTTGTAGTTCGCTACTGTAGCGAACTACAATTTTCAAGAAGCCAGTAGTTTTTGACTACTTTTTTAAAACAGTAGCTGTAGTTATAGCAAACTACATTTTGCCTACGTTGACTACTTTTCAAAGAGCGAATAGCTATAAGCTACTTTTTAAAATTGTTAGCAACTTTATAGAATAGCATGATATTGAGAGACGGTTTGCTTAAAATCAATACTCAATAGTCAATTTGCACTCCTGAACACTGTAGTGCTAATACACAAATGTTGCTTTGTGTTTATACTGTTTACTTTTAAGTCGATTTGTTGTAGGTTACATTACAGCTTCAGTTAGTAGACGCTCCAAATACAGTAAAACTAAAAATATAGCATAGCGAAATAGTTTGCTACATTTTTTACACAGTAGCTGTAGTCAGTAGCGAATTAGTATTACTTTTGTTTAAAAGTAGCAGTAGTTGTAGCTGACTACATATTTTTGAAGTAGCTGTAGTTACAGCGAACTACAAAAATTTTGTAGGCATTTGTAGGCCTTGGTCATTTGTCATCATTTCATCATGTATTAATTAAACATGTTAGCGCAAAGCATGTTGCTCTCTATATATAACGAAAGGAGGGACTGCAGAAAGCACATCAATAAACAATATATGCTAACTTTTTGCACCGCCCCTTCGGGGTTTGAATTAGACAGGAAACATCGATTCGCAAATTTCCTTTTTGAAAATGTAAGGAAATTTTAGTTTTGAAAAGTGGAAACACTGCTTGTAAAAAACAAAATGGCGGTCGTTTTAGCCATAGAGATTATAAATAACACTAGAGGAGGCATCGAGTTTAAAAATTGGGAACACAGCCACAGAGTAGAGACATATGTCTCTATGCTGTGATGCAGCTAATGGGGGGCAAATGCAAGTCCCGGATATAAAATAGTGCTCTCATTGGCTGATTTGAAACTCGTCACCAATGAGAACATCTGGGATTTGAATTTGCCCCCCAATAGCGGTCCTACTAAATACTGCCCGGAGCACCTGGAGATGCCCGGGGACGCCATGAAGCGCCCGGGAGCATGTGAGAATGCCCGGGGATATACAAGATAGTATAAATCAGTGCACGATCCTTTTTGGGTCTCTATGAGGCATTAATTTAATGAAAAATAGCATTGAAAGTGATTTTTAAGCAGTCTCGCAACAAGCGGTAAAAGCGCGGTCGCCCACGCAGGACGTTGTGAGAAACATGAGATTATATTTAAATTTATTATAAATGTAAATATTTGCTGTTATTAAATTAAACTAAAGTTAAATAAAAAAATAAGACTAGTTTTGTTTTAATATATCAACTGCGGAGAACAAGTCAATTGTCGTTTGGCAGCTTTCGAAAAATTTTTGTCAATAAGATTACCGAGATCTATGAGCTATACATAAAAGTCAAAAACAAAAAAGCTCATAAACTAATTCTAAAAAGAGAAGATGAATATATATCCTAAAAAAGTAAAGTTCCCAAACTATACTCTAGAGTAGATAAAAAAGCATTGATAACACTATATTTTACTAATATTTAAGCTGAAAACTGCGTTTTTGTTTACGCGGAATGTTTTTATGAGTTTATATGACTCTAATTTAATTAGTAATGTTTTTTTTATTTGGCCTAATCTTAATGACTTGTTCTCAGCAGTTGATATATTATTAAGCAGTTGATATATGTTTAATATATTAAAACAAAACTAGTCTTAATTTTTTATTTAACTTTGTTTAATTTAATAACAGCAAATATTTACATTTATAATAAATATAATCTCATGTTTCACACAACTTCCTGCGTGGGCGACCACGCTTTTACCGCTTGTTGCTAGGCTGGTTGAAAATCACTTTTAATATTATTTTTCATTAATATAATGCCTCATAGAGACTCAAAAAGGATCGTGCACTGATTTATATTATCTTGTCTATCCCCGGCATTCTCAGGTGCTCCCGGGCACTTCAGTATTTAGTAGGACCTCCCAATATAGCCATGTTCCTTTTTTTAACTGAATTGAGATTACAATGCCTTCTCTAGTGTTATTTATAATCTCTATGGTTTTAGCCATATTCTTAATTTCACACATCTTTTTAGTACAAAATTGCAATAATAGTCAGCAAAATACATATACTTTTTTAATACTACATATATATATTGTTTTAAAAGTAAAAATTCAAGTTTACATGCAGTGAAACGACGATGTTTACGTTTTACATGCAAAAATACCTAATATTACATGAAATTGTATTCGCTTGAAATAACATGCACTAAACACTTTCAGACCAGGGCCATAGCGACCGGGGGGTGGTGCACCCCCCTAATAATTGATCATGAGCTATTTCAGGTAGATTTGCATTAGATTTCCAGGTAAATTCAGGTAGAATTTTATGTAAATTCAGGTAGTTTTCAGTGCTAAAGAAAGTATATGTGTGCAAAAATTGTTTTGTGTTTTCGTAGAAATGAAATGTCGGAAAAATTATGAAATGTCGGAAAAATTTTTTGTATGTTTGGAAAAATTTTGATATGTCTGGAAAGTTTTTTATATATTTTGTGAAAATTATACAGTATCTTCGGAAAATTTTCGGTATGGATTGCAAGATTGTAAAAATAATTAGGAACCTATTTATAGAAACCTAAGCAATGTTTCTGCTTAAAGATGATTTTGTTTTGGAAGAAAATTTCGTTTTTGAAAAAAAATTCCATTATTTTTGGAAGATATCTAGGAGGTGATGGAACTGAAAGAGTTATTGATAAAGAGAGGGGCATGATTGAATTACCAATGAGTTTGATAAATAAATATAAACTCAACATTGCTTTCTGGGGTGTGTGTGTGGGGGGGGGGGGGGACACCCCCCCCCCCCCC